TTCTATCATCTTTAGCTTCGTAAACCCCAGACACTTGGTTGACAACAAGTTGGGAATCGCTATAAACCATCAGCTCGGATGCGCGCACCTGGAGCGCACTCTTAAGTCCGGCTAGCAGCGCCTCGTACTCAGCCTCATTGTTTGATGCAGGGAATCTGAGTGTGATGGAGTGTTCGATGGTCAGACCATCTGGGGAGATCAAAACTATGCCCAGCCCGGCACCGTGATGATTTGAGGCTCCATCTACAAAAAGTTTCCACATTTCACCAACAAAGAGCTTCCAACACTCTGAGGGGTCCTGGGAGGCTCGAAGGTCGATGGGATCACGTTCACTCGGCTGTTCGGTTTCTGGTTCACTGCTATTCGGTTCCATTTCATCCCCTCTCGGTGATTTTTTATTTTTCTTTCAGCGACTAAAATATTTTAGTTGCTAAAACTATATATACCGCGACCAAAATAATTTTTTATTTTTCTCTCAGCGACTAAACTATTTTAGTTGCCAAAACTATATATACCGCGACCAAATTAATTTTTAGTCGCTGAAATTAAGGTTTTGCCGACCAAACTTTTGGTCGCAAAAGATAAAAAATAATTTTTTATTTTTCTTTCAGCGATTAAAATATTTTAGTTGCCAAAACTACATATACCGCGACCAAACTAATTTTTAGTCGCTGAAATTAGGGTTTTGCCGACCAAACTTTTGGTCGCGAAAGATAAAAAAATAATTTTTTATTTTTCTTTCAGCGACTAAAATATTTTAGTTTCCAAAACTATATATACCGCGACCAAACTAATTTTTAGTCGCTGAAATTAAGGTTCTGCCGACCAAACTTTTGGTCGCCAAAGATAAAAAATGAAAATTTTTTTTTAGTCGCCAATTGTGAGATTTTTAGCGACTAAATTTTTTTTTAGTCGCCAATTGTGAGATTTTTAGCGACTAAATTTTTTTTTAGTCGCCAATTGTGAGATTTTTAGCGACTAAATTTTTTTTTAGTCGCCAATTGTGAGATTTTTAGCGACTAAATTTTTTTTTAGTCGCCAATTGTGAGATTTTTAGCGACTAAATTTTTTTTTAGTCGCCAATTGTGAGATTTTTAGCGACTAATTTTTTTTTTAGTCGCCAAAAATTAATATACCCCGACTAAAAAAATTTAGTAGCTAAATATTGTACTTTTACCGACTAACATAATTTTTGGTCGCCAATTCCACAACTTTTGGCAACCAAAATATTTTTAGTCGGCAAAAGTGGTCGCCAATTGTGTATTTTCTTGTAGTGTATACAGTAAAATAAATCTTACCTCTAAGAGATGATTAGATCAAAATCACCACTCTATGAATCTTCTCTTTTTCTTTTTTTTTTCTTTTTTTTACTTTTCAAACCCTTGAGCAGCAACCTCCAAAAAAGATTCACGAGGCCTCTATTTTCGCTAGACTTAAAGCCAAGATGTTGGCTTAATAACCTAGTTTCTCAAAAATATAAAATTACCCATCTAAGTTATAGAAATTAGAATACCATCTCATGACTAATTCCTTGATATTACTAAATGACTCATATAAATTAATTTCATTACTAATCTATCCCATAAAATTATTCTACACATAACTTGGGTTTTACAGGCTAAGCCTATAAATAAGCCAAAAGAGATACAAAGAGGCATCAATTAATCAATCATCAACCACTCACAGATCGTGAAGAATTATTTAGGAATAGTTTAAGTTAGCCATTTTTAGGAGTAGCTTAAGTGATAGTTTTCCCACCTTTATTTCTCTTCTTTCTGTCGATTGCTATATTTATTCAATTCTTTGTTCTTATTTAAAGTTCTTGTAACTAGTGACAAGTGACAATTTATTCGAATTAATTCATATTCTATTCTGTTCCATTTCTTCTTTATTTAATTGCCTCCAAGGAAGTCCTTAATCTGTTTAAGGCATGGAATTCAACCACAAAACCTGATCTTCTTGTGTTTATTTAAAATTTATTCAAGTTTGTTGATCAATCACTGTCGATTGGGCTTAAACCAAATTTTTACCAACACTACCCATAGCGTAATTTGTGGTATTTGTTGAGCACATAGTGTATAGGTGTTTGGGTTGTGCCATGATCAAAGAGTGTTGAATAACAAGCAGGAGAGAAAAAAATAGAGGAATCATAGTTCCTGATGAGGTAGAGAGAACAACTACAGGCATCATTCTTTTCCTTTCCAACTTTTACATAAGAGCAAAAATTGCTGATAATCGTAACATTGTTAATTTAATACGTTTGTCACCAAAAACATAGAAAACAATTGTGTTTTTAAAAATAGACCTTTCATTTTTTGGTGACAAACGTAATGAATTGAATATGCTACGATTATCAGATCGTCCTAATTTTTATTTTATTTTTTTTGGTTGATATACATGAAATGCCTAATAAAATGAATGGTTCAAATCATCAAAACAAAACCTGTGATAGACCCCAAGGATCTGAACAGATCCCTTCAATCGGGATTAAGTATTGGAGGGGATCCACTCCCTATTTTTAATAGAGAAATGAATTGTCATTACTTTTAGCATTGGACCGGTACAAACCACTTTTCCCATTGGTCACAACTATATGAATTATCATATATTACATATATTTCTTTCTATGTTACAAAAATTATGTCAATTTACAATCACAACACACAACAAAAATCACAGTAAGTGACAACCTTTTAGCATTCACTGCGGGGATATGCTAGAAACAGTGACTTGATTTTTTACAGAAGGATCTGTGGATGAAGATGGTTTGCTATGAGCAAACTTGCCAACAGAAAATGCAGGTTGATTTGGTTCAGGAAGTGTTGCTGATTCATTTCCCAATAAAACCACCACAGATGACATATTTGGTCTATCTTTCGGATCTTCTTGGACGCATAGAAGCCCAATATGGATACATCTTACAACTTTTGCCACAGGGCATGACCCCGCCAACAATGGATCTAAAAGTTCTGGTTCTTTTCCATTGCTCCATAGTCGCCATGCCTATAAAATCACATTGTTTTAATTTGAATGAGTAGTTGTCACATTCTAGTTATTTGAGTATTTGTAGTTGAAGAGGGGGTTGAAAACACATACATAAGCAAGGAGTGTCTGAGCATGTTCTGTAAGGTAAAAGCCACTGTTTCTTTGCCCACTAATGATCTCGAGCAAGATCACTCCGTAACTGAAAACATCAGATTTTACAGAGAATAGTCCACCCATTGCATACTCGGGAGCCATATATCCACTGTATCAAATACGATCATTATTTTATCTTATTTTCAATTAAAATATGTAGTTTTAGTGAAAGATAAAGGAAAGAGCAAGGGTTTAAACAGCAATGGGTCACGATTGGTATTGGTCGCGGTCGATGTCAGGTCTAGCAAACAATACTTATTAAATCATCAACAGCCAAAATAGCTTTATAGAGCTTTATAGAGCTTTATATATAGTAGTCATATCAACTTTTGAACCGATATGAATTGGGAGTTAGTTAATGTTGGTGTAATTTTTATTCATCCCTATTGGAAGGGCTGAAAACTAATAAATATCAACCAATATTTAAAACTATGAGAAAGAATAGACTTACTATGTTCCTACAACTCTTTTGGTGTTAGCTATATTTTGGTTTTCACCAAAAATTCTCGCCATTCCGAAATCTGATATCTTAGCGACCATTTCTTGGTCCAATAGAACATTATTAGGCTTTAGATCCCTGTGTATGATTTTAAGCCTTGAGTCTTCGTGCAAATAAAGTAGTGCTCGAGCAATCCCAAGAATAATGTTCAGGCGTATATCCCAATGAAGTTTTGCACGTTTCTCTGAATCTGAAATTGTATATAAAATTAAAGCTACCTGAGATAATAATTTTTTTGTTCATTTTCTTAGCTATACCGAGCTGTAAGAAAGCCTATAAATTAAAGATACAAGAACAAACCAAATATGAAGAGATCAAGGCTTTTGTTGGGCATGTATTCATATATGAGCAACTTTTCTTCTCCCTCTATGCCACAACCCACAAGCCTCACAAGGTTTCTATGTTGAAGTTTTGCTATTAGTATGACTTCATTCTTGAACTCCTCTAATCCTTGCCATGATTTCCTCGACAGCCTTTTGACCGCTATTTCCTTGCCATCACACAAGATACCCTACAAATTTCAGTTAAATATTTATTGATCAAAAAGGATAAAAGACTACAAGTTTGTATAATATCAATTGATATGATATGTATTAAGATTTTGGGCAACTAATATATTAGCTGTTACGACCATATCACTGATACAAATACGTGTCCCCGATACTATTGTTTAAAACCATCTAGAAGACTATGGGATTGATCACATTAACAAGGAAAAAGTTGTTACCTTGTAAACAGTGCCGACCCCACCTTGTCCGAGCTTATTTGTATCAGAAAAGTTTCTTGTGGCTGCCTTTATAGTAGCCAACTCCATGAAAGGCAGATCTTGAGAACTGACAAATTCACCTTCTTGATTAATGTCAACACTAGGTGGGTTTGCCAATTCTTGTAACAATGCACTTTGGCTTTTTTCCTCATCTGTAGGGCAGCAGACTCTTCTGTTAATTTCATTGATATGGTGTGGTTTGCCTATTTGAGAGTAAAATTATAAACCAAATGGCGGATTGGCGGATAACCAAATTGCGGTATGGACGGTTTGGGGCAGATTGAAGGATTGAAAAATATTCTTAACCAATTATTAAGCATTTGCATAATATATAACACTAATTTACATAATATTTTCATATATAAAACACAAACTAATTTTACATAATATTATTCATATATATAACTATTAATTGGTAACAAATTAAAAAAATCTCTCTCATACTCATTTTTACTTTGATATTTTATTAGAGGTTAAAAAAATATATGTATTAACCGTAGTAGAGCAAAACAGTTTTGAAGGTAGATTATATATTTTAATGCTTAATCGGGGGTTAGCGGATAAAACAGTACGGATTGGTGTGGTTTTTACGAATTGGGCAGTATTTTACACAATCCTAGACATGGGAATGTAGCGTGTTGGTAATTAAACATTTGGACAACAATAAGTCTCAAAATACATAAACAAAATGCAAAACCAGACACAGAAAATGCATGTTTTGTGTCTAATTTTGTGTTTGGTTTCTGTGTTTTAAACTTGCTGTTTTGTAAATTTACCCTTTCGTGTTCGGTTGCTTCGCTGATGCCGAATAACATAGCAATCAGCAACAAGACCTGCGAGCACAAATGTTGTTGGACCGGTAACTAGCATAGCCACCTTAATCTTCTTTCTGTCCCCTGTTTGTTTAGGAAAAAGATCTATGTATTCAATTTCAGTTCATATATTGTATACACTAATGACAATAAACATGTTTGGCAAATTGTTTTGGCGAAGTTTTATTGAAAACACCCTGTTTAGGAAATTTTTTTAAAATCATTTTGGCCCAAAATTGAAACCATATGACAGTTATTTGTGCAAAGTAGTCAAATGATTTTAGACAAACAATATGGTTTTCTTGTTTTCTTCAAGTATATGGCAACAGTCAATAACATAGACAAAGTAGCTATTTTAAATTCAATTTTCTTACCATTGACAGTAGGTTCGTGGTAAAACGGGTATAACTGAAACCTCATGTTGCAGTTTCTGCTTAAAACAGTACCACCTTGGCGATAATCACAGCACCCATCAAGGTCTCCAAATTCAGAATTCAAACAAACTCTACAGTCTCTTCGAGAGATGTCTCTTGTGCACTGGACAAGCCCATAAATCGTTTCATTCGTAGAAATTTTGGTTTTACCAGTAGCAAACTGTTGGAGAAAAATGGTTGAATAAGAAATTGCCTCATAAATGTGTATATAACTCGCACATTTAAGGCTCATCGGTTTTACAAAATTGATTGGGCAGTTTTGCTAGCATTAGTTGCCAACCTTGATGGCTAGAGGCTCCTCCCCTCTCCCCCATGGTGTATAAAAGGAGGCCTTATTCCTTGAATAGAGATATAAAATTTTTCCTTAACATCCATACACTGTCAGTCTACTTCTCCTATAATTTTCTTCCTGGGAGAGAGTGTTGCTGTTGTCCATTCGCTAAGCTAATCAGAAGGTGCTTCTGTTGTTGCTGGTAGAAACCGTCGTATCCTGGGAAGTAGACGCCGGCGTATCTCCAACACCCAACGATGAGGCGGCGAATCTATTTTAAGGAGACTGTGGTATCACACAGGCTTCGGTTTGCTTCCTTTAACTATTTTATATTTTATCTGTATTTTATTCAGCATGTTATTTTTCCTGAGATTGAAGGTTTGTTTTGTTCATCTCATAATTTTGCGATTTTCAATGTGAAATTATGTAATGTGAGTAGTTTTTCCCAACAAGCTTAAAATAGATTCGACGTTTATCGTAGAATTAGATTAATAGATTCATAAGTGTGTGTAATAATTTTGCATGTAATTGGCCACTGATAGTACTAGCGAGTTAATTGGTTTATTAGATGCATGTACACAGGGTTAAGCTTTTGATTTTGCCATTTTGTGTATGCTACTGTTTGGTCTTCCCATGGCATGGAATAGGCCACTGTTATCAATAGGGAAGAAGAGTTCCATTGGTGCAACGTTAATTCACTGTATTTTCTAATTAATTTATTAATTTATGGTGTACCGGTTCATGCCTTGTATTTCTAGATTTACATACTTCTAGTTCACATGCTTCTAGTTACAATATAAATTACATGTTCATTCGGGTTTAATTTTTAGTGTAATTTACATTTCTAGCCTGTTTATTAGGTAGTAAATTTTCATCTAACTTGTACCTATTAATCTTTAATTTAGGTGTGGAGTTGTAAAGTTTATAACTTGCCTATATTTAAATTCATGTTAATTTCTCTAGAATTATTTGCATGTTAATCATGTCATTTGCAATTCTTGCCTAGTAATGTGATTTAAGTATTTAGGAGTTATAAAATGTTTGTAACCTGCCTCAATTAATTACATGTTTAGTGTACCATAAGTTCATATGTAACCTTTACCAATTTAAAATATGGTTTAATTATAGTTAATTTAGGTCTGTAACTTATATAGTTAATTACATGTTTATTATGTAATTAATTTTTTACAATTTTTTTTAGTTTAAATTCTAGATGTGTAACTTAAGGGTTGGTTTTAATCTTTACCCAACGTTATTTATTAGTTTGTTGTGCTTATACCCTCTTCATCAATCACTACTTGTTCAAAAGTAAAGAAAGCTGAGGAGTTTTTGTTTGTATTTTGCCTTGCTAACTCTTTATTGCAGAATACCTATGAGAATAGGAAAAAGATTAATTTGGACTAAATATTTGAAGCAATTCTGTGCTTGGAGTGTTCATTTGGGTTATTCACCAATATGTAAAGCACGGTTTTATTTGCTTGTAATTATGTGTAGCAATTTTGTTGTAATTTGGTTGTACAGTTTGGAACTTGGTATGTTTAACCTAGTTCATCCCTTGGAAATTTAATTCTCTAAAGTTGTTTCCCATGACTAGGATCAACATTTCTCTTGAAAGTTTTGTCTTAAGGTTAACTGTGTTTAAGTGGGATTGGTGTGACCCCTCCAGTCTTCCTAGAAACTTTCCTGACCATGTTCGATTTTAGGTTGCGTGGTGAGATAGTTGTTGAAATTAAATTTCCAATTGTGGATTTTCTAGTGTTAAGTTTGAATACTGAAAATTCTGCTGTAATTTTTTGAGAAATGGCAACTGTCTCTGATGCTGCTTACACTACTGCTAAGTTGGTGGGGATCCGAACCCCGGGGCGACTGGCTTGCCAACCCCTGCTGTGACCTCTGTGGTCAATCCTCCTGTTGTTACTCCGGCTGTTTCGGGAGGACCGCTCAATCATCACGAGCGCCCGGAGAAGTTCACGGGAGTGAATTTCAAGAGATGGCAGCAGAAGATGCTATTTTATTTGACTACTCTAAGCCTTGCAAGGTTTCTAAGTGAAGATGTACCAGCCGTAGAGGAGAATGAGCAAGATAAACAAAAGCTCATGGCTCTGGATGCTTGGAAACAAGCAGACTTCTTATACCGGAATTACATTCTGAACGGCTTGGCGGATCCGCTTTTCAACGTGTTCTATGCCAAGAAATCGGCTAAGGAGTTGTGGGATGCCTTGGACAAAAAGTACAAGACCGAGGATGCTGGGGTAAAGAAATTTATCGTCGGCCGGTTCCTGGACTTCAAGATCGTGGACTCTAAAACTGTCCTGAGTCAAGTCCAAGAGTTCCAAGTGATTCTGCACCAGATACATGCAGAAGGGATGGTCCTAAGTGAGTCATTCCAGGCAGCTGCCTTGATTGAGAAGCTGCCTAACGGCTGGAAAGACTTCAAGAACTACTTGAAGCACAAATGAAAGGAGATGACAGTCGAAGAGCTCATTGTCAGGCTCCGGATTGAAGAGGACAATAGGAAAAAAGGATGGAGTACCTCCACTGTCAAAGCCAACATGGTTGAACATGGCAAGTCCTCGGGGGCGAGGAAAAAACCACCGACAGGCAAAAGCTCAAAGTTGGGGGCTAGAGGAGGAATCTCCAAAAGGCCATCCTAAAAGCCAAAGGAGCCTACTTTTAGGTTCGATGGCAAATGCTTCAACTTTGGAAGTGACGGTCATCGGGCTATTGATTGTCTGAAGAAGAAACCCTACACATATGGCTGAAATGGAGGAATTGTCACACGATGTGGACGACATGCATCTGTCAGCCGTCGTGTCAAAAGTGAACATGGTGGGGTCAAACCCGAGGGAGTGGTGGGTGGACACTGGGGCCACTCGCCATATTTGTGCAGAGAAGAGAATGTTCACAACTTTCAAACTAGTTTCAAACGGGGAGAAGTTGTTTATGGGAAACTCTGCAACCTCAGCTGTTGAGGGAAAAGGCAAGGTGATCCTGAAGATGACTTCAGGAAAAGAACTGACTTTGAACGATGTCCTTTTTGTGCCGGACATTCGTAAGAACCTTGTCTCGAGGTCTCTCCTAAGCAAGCATGGCTTCCGCATGGTGTTTGAATCAGACAAGGTCGTGTTGACCAAGGGCGGGGTCTATGTGGGGAAGGGATATATGTCAGGTGGTATGTTTAAATTGAATGTAATGACACTTATCCCTAAGATTAATGAGAAAGCTTCTCCTTCTGCTTATATGCTTGAGTCCCCTAATTTATGGCATGGTAGATTGGGTCATGTAAATTTTGACTCTTTACGTAGATTAATCAAGTTAGATCACATACCATCTTTCAAGATTAATCCACAACAAAAGTGTGAAACTTGTGTAGAAGCAAAATTGACAAGGTCTTCTTTTCATTCTATTGAAAGAAGTACCCAATCTTTAGGTTTTTTGAAGTAGCCTTCGAGTGACTTGAAAGTTATACAATCACGTGGTGGCAAAGTACTTCATCACTTTTGTTGATGATTGAATATTATATTTATTACAATCTTTATTCCAGCATAAAAAAAAAAAATTTACAACCTGCTATTTTTACAATCTGTGTTCCAACATAAAATTACAAATATCATATTGTCATAATTTTTTATTTAATATAATTAATTAAAGAAATAAAATTCCTAATTACTCTTCTATACAATAATAAATTACCTGAATTATTAATTAAAATAAATTTTTAACATCATTAAAAACTATTAATTAACTTGATAATTTATTAATAAAATAGACATTTGTTATAAAATTAAAAATTTCAAAGAGCGAGATATAATTTTCAAAATCATAATGGACAATTCGTATTTTAAACAAATTTATCCTAAATTTTAAATTAGGACAACTTTTTACTCAACTCATTTACAACTCTACGTTTTTTGCATGGTGGATTAAAAAGAAGATTCCCCAAGGACCAAAGGCTATTGCTGCTGCCATTGACTGAGTTTTTGGAAATTGGGTTAGATCAAATAAATCCCCTGCCTAAAATGTTCAGAAACATTTGTTTCATCATTTTTTATGTTTGTGTGAAAATAGTTTTTGAAAATTCAGAAGGCAGTTTTGAAACAGATTGCCAAATCAGTTTTCCATATCAGTGTTTGTTTTTTCTATTCTCAAACAATTTTCCACAAAATTAAAGACGGAATACAAAAACCACAATCAAACTAGCTAAATTTTCAGAAAGTGCAGTTTCATAGCACCAATAAAAGAATTTCATTCCACAAAGCAGTCCATAACTCTTAAATGCTAAAGATTTGTCTGAGCATTGCATTCCATGGCAATACAGATCAAGAGGAAAACTATTCAACAAATTGCTCGTCAAAATAGATAACTAAACCACTATAACGAACCAAAATCCCATGAAATCTGAATGACTCAGTTTTTCTCAACAATGCTACTATTTGTTAGATAACAATTTTCAGAAAGTGCAGTTTCATAGCACCAATAAAAGAATTTCATTCCACAAAGCAGTCCATAACTCTTAAATTCTAAAGATTTGTCTGAGCATTGCATTCCATGGCAATACAGATCAAGAGGAAAACTATTCAACAAATTGCTCGTCAAAATAGATAACTAAACCACTATAACGAACCAAAATCCCATGAAATCTGAATGACTCAGTTTTTCTCAACAATGCTACTATTTGTTAGATAACAATTTTCAGAAAGTGCAGTTTCATAGCACCAATAAAAGAATTTCATTCCACAAAGCAGTCCATAACTCTTAAATTCTAAAGATTTGTCTGAGCATTGCATTCCATGGCAATACAGATCAAGAGGAAAACTATTCAACAAATTGCTCGTCAAAATAGATAACTAAACCACTATAACGAACCAAAATCCCATGAAATCTGAATGACTCAGTTTTTCTCAACAATGCTACTATTTGTTAGATAACAATTTTCAGAAAGTGCAGTTTCATAGCACCAATAAAAGAATTTCATTCCACAAAGCAGTCCATAACTCTTAAATTCTAAAGATTTGTCTGAGCATTGCATTCCATGGCAATACAGATCAAGAGGAAAACTATTCAACAAATTGCTCGTCAAAATAGATAACTAAACCACTATAACGAACCAAAATCCCATGAAATCTGAATGACTCAGTTTTTCTCAACAATGCTACTATTTGTTAGATAACAATTTTCAGAAAGTGCAGTTTCATAGCACCAATAAAAGAATTTCATTCCACAAAGCAGTCCATAACTCTTAAATGCTAAAGATTTGTCTGAGCATTGCATTCCATGGCAATACAGATCAAGAGGAAAACTATTCAACAAATTGCTCGTCAAAATAGATAACTAAACCACTATAACGAACCAAAATCCCATGAAATCTGAATGACTCAGTTTTTCTCAACAATGCTACTATTTGTTAGATAACAATTTTCAGAAAGTGCAGTTTCATAGCACCAATAAAAGAATTTCATTCCACAAAGCAGTCCATAACTCTTAAATGCTAAAGATTTGTCTGAGCATTGCATTCCATGGCAATACAGATCAAGAGGAAAACTATTCAACAAATTGCTCGTCAAAATAGATAACTAAACCACTATAACGAACCAAAATCCCATGAAATCTGAATGACTCAGTTTTTCTCAACAATGCTACTATTTGTTAGATAACAATTTTCAGAAAGTGCAGTTTCATAGCACCAATAAAAGAATTTCATTCCACAAAGCAGTCCATAACTCTTAAATGCTAAAGATTTGTCTGAGCATTGCATTCCATGGCAATACAGATCAAGAGGAAAACTATTCAACAAATTGCTCGTCAAAATAGATAACTAAACCACTATAACGAACCAAAATCCCATGAAATCTGAATGACTCAGTTTTTCTCAACAATGCTACTATTTGTTAGATAACAATTTTCAGAAAGTGCAGTTTCATAGTTCAAGACATCACGTTCACTGGTCAGCCAGTAAATCTGATAGGCTTTCACTACGAAAGGTTCAAGGCCAACAGCTACCTTTTCTGATGCAGGGTTAGTCTATGTGCTCTCTCTCTTTCCGAGTCTTTGTTGATAAACGTTGAGCGTTTGCTGTATTCGGTCAATTTTTATTCATGTGGGGGATTGTTGGAGAAAAATGGTTGAATAAGAAATTGCCTCATAAATGTGTATATAACTCACACATTTAAGGCTCATCAGTTTTACAAAATTGATTGGGCAGTTTTGCTAGCATTAGTTGCCAGCTTTGATGGCTAGAGGCTCCTCCCCTCTCCCCCATGGTGTATAAAAGGAGGCCCTATTCCTTGAATAGAGATATTGAATTTTTCCTTGACATCCATACACTGTCAGTCTACTTCTCCTATAATTTTCTCCCTGAGAGAGAGTGTTGCCGTTGTCCGTTCGCTAAGCTAATCAGAAGGTGCTTCTGTTCTAGCTAGTAAAAACCGTCGTATCCTGGGAAGTAGACACCGGCGTACCTCCAGCACCCAACGGTGAGGAGGCGAATCTATTTTAAGGAGACTGTGGTATCACACAGGCTTCGGTTTGCTTACTTTAACCATTTTATATTTTATCTGTATTTTATTCAGCATGTTATTTTTCTTTGGATTGAAGGTTTGTTTTGTTCATCTCATAATTTTGCGATTTGCAATGTGAAATTATGTAATGTGAGTAGTTTTTCCCAACACAAACATGAGGTTAGTAGTTTTTCCCAACACAAACATGAGGTTAGAAGGATTGAATGCAGCTTGATTGGAGAGCTTGATTGGAGAGTTTAGTCATGAAATCCTTCAAAACTACAACAAAACCAACACTATCCGATATATTTTTCTCATCTTTATTCGAGTCAAGATACATTCCAGTATAGCCGTCTCAGGAATAGAAAGGCCAGTATGATTACTGAACTTGACAGAATTCATGCCATATAATTGCATTTTGGGTTGGACACACTGTCATGATCTCCTGGCTTGCATTCTGAGCGCAATCCCGACACACTTCAGCAGTGACATCCCCTCTGCAAAGTGCTTGCCCATAAACTTGATCAGTACTATTTCCAAATACAGTACTCTTGAAGCCTTGACTTAGAGGAGTGTTCAACCATAGAGACTCAAGAAGTCTCTTGAGATTGTTCCCAAATGGGCTATTTTGCGTGTAATTAGCGGGACTAACATCACAATATATGAAATTAGGTTCTGCACGAACAGCGGTGGAGATCACGAACAGAGACACCATTAAGAAAATTATTGCTGAAAGTGCATCTTTGTCAATCTTCCTCATATGAGATCTCATTTGTGCCTACTTTACCCAAAAAAGCTTGAAAGATAAGATAGTAATCGGACAACGATAGGAGAAGAGTCACAGAACCAGACACGGAATATATATTCAGTGCCCGGTTTTGTGGCCGATTCTTATATTTGTAGCAGAACCATAGGAGAAGATAAGCGTTGGATTGAAAAAGCCCGTCAACAAGTTTTCAACAGGACAACCAATAATTTTCTCAGTAACTTCATAACCGCAATCAATTTGTTTGGATTCTGAAGATCATTGACGATTACATGGAGGTGTTTATGGGTTGAAAAAAATACTAACAATAAGAGTTTTGGAACTTTGAAAAATCATGGCCAGCATGTAAGACTTTAAATAAAAATAATTGATCAACTAACATAGATGGATAGACTGTGAATAATAAGTTAATAAACTGTTCAAAGAATGCATATATATTTTCATATGATGTTTCAAGTTTTGGCTTTTAACACAAATTAACTACATTGTATTAAGTACCACTAGTAGGGTACTAATACTGAGAATTTGTTCAGCTAGAAAGCGCCGATACAGATATGGGATATGAATACGGTACAATACGTACGGATACGGCAATACAATAAAATCTAAAAAAGTAAGGTACGGATATAGTGAGAATACATTTTGTAAAAAATATATTTTTGTAATTTTTTCGAGCATTAGTTCTTTTGTTTACTTAATATCAAATGTTGATTCAGAACATATCAAATCCTAAAGCAAGCTATAAAAACAATTATATTAATTCAGAATATCAATGTCAATTTTTGCTTGTTCCTCTTCATGAGAGAGTGGCATAGAGGTATTTTTGTGAAGATACAGGTAGAAAGAAAAAAAAAAGAAAGAGACATAATCGACCTTTGGAAATCAATAATGTTGTTTCATTTTAGTTTTTTATTTTATTTTATTTTATTTTTTGTCTTTATAGAGGCTAAGGTTCCTTCATTTGTACTTCGTTTGATCATTCCATAAGTGCTTAAAAAGTGGCATATGTTTGGTATTTTTTACTTGCATTAAACTTCTTTTAAAATTTGACCTCTATTAAAATTTGTAAGAAAATTATGTTTCCGCCCCCTACCATATCCCGAACATATCTTTCCCGTATCTTGAACGTATCCATCCCGTATCCGAAATTAAAAAAATAAAAAAATTATTTTTGGATACTCTTCAGCCGTATCCAATATATATCCGGCCATATTGGACACATGTCCGTATCCGAAAAGTATCCCATACTTGACCTTTTTTAGAGTATCCATGCTTCATAGTGGTTCAGTGGCTTGGTTTTTCAATTGAATATTTAGAAGTCATTATCTATGGGGCAGTTAGCCAGAATTCAAAATTCTTACAGGAAATTAAGAATTATTATGCATCAGTTAGCTTGGTTGAGCCAACAAAAGAAAAAATAGAAAAATTACATACAAAGAAGAGAGATAGAGAGAGAGAGAGAGAGAGAGAGAGAGAGAGAGAGAGCAAAACAAAAAAAATAAATCAAAACAAACAAAATCTGGGTTCGACTTGGAAGGGTGTAAGTCAAAATATTTCAAAAAAATATTACAAAGATTTGAATTGAGATAAGTAATAGGTTGTTCAAATTTGGTTTCAAAACTTAACGAGTTTTAACATATTTAAATTTGAATTGTTAACAAAACGAGATAATTTTAGATAACTTTTAAATATACCGAACACGAGTCGAGTTCAACATTCCTCTCAAAAACACAGAGCAGGAGGCCAAAGTCAGAAAATTTAATAAAAATTAATTCAACATCACAGAGCAAGTGACAATGTGATTAAAAGTCACTAAACTTCTTAATATAAAATCGAAGACAGAGAACAAAATTGACTTGGCAGCATATAGTTGTTTGCGACAGAAAAAGCGATATTTTTGCTAATATTATCCTTAGCCTACTGTTTATATAAATTGACTTTGACATTGTAATTTGTAGGCTCCATTTTATTTTGCTAGAAGAATGTTTGAACCAGATCTATCAGTATGAGTAAGCATGAGACAACTTGGTACGTAGGACCACTTGTTAACAACCAAATTTTATAAAAGCAAGCACTAGAAAAAATTTTAAAAAATATCAACAAAATTCTTTTTGGCGTTTCTTCTTTATTTTTTATAACACTATGAAAAGTTGGTGTGGAGAAAGTTCGGAGTGAATTTTAATACTAGGAGAGTTGTTGAGGAACTACTAATATTTTGATTTCATTTGACTAAGAGGTCAAGGGTTTACGGATTTAAATCTTTTCAATTGTAAGAATTTCTCTCCATTAAGTTATAGCCGCCAACAACTGAAAAAAAGAAGAAAAGGAACCTGTTTGGTTCTTTGAATTCAATTTTAGAAAAAATTGGACTTTTCTGTTTGGTTATCCAAAAACTAAATAAAAAAAATTTCAAAATCGTGGATTTTCTGGATGCACTTTGACTTTCTGGATACATTTTTGTCGGTGTTGATCTGGCTTCTAGTTTGTTATTTTTATTTATTTTAGGAACATTTGTACATATATAAGTCTTAATTTATGAATTTATACTCTATTAAATTTTAATTAAGATTTTTTTAGATATTTAAGTCCCATTAAATTTTTAATAATCAGAATTATCCTTCAAATAATAATTGTTCATCATTTATGATTATCTTTAAAGGAACATGATGATTTGACATTTATTTTGATTTTCAAAATTTTAAAATACAAACTTTCAAATTGAAAAAACTCAAAAAACATTATATGCAAAAAAAATAAAAATAAAAAAATAATCAGTGTGTTTTGTTTCAGTTTTCTGAATTCAGTTTTTTGAAATTGAGTTTTTTGTTTTTCATATTTTTTGTTTTTGTTTTTAGTGAATATTTTTAAAATTTTAAGCATTTTTTTTTTACTTTTTTAGATGCACCTTACTTAGATGTATCTAAATAGTAAGATATTTGTAACAAAATATTTTAAACAATTAAAAATACACAAAAATGTGAAAAATGTATTGAATTTTTGTGTGTTTTTAATATTTTTGATATTTAGTGAATTTTGTAAAGATTTTTTCACAAATATTATACTTTTTAAGTGTATTTATGTTAAGTATGTCTAAAAAATTTTTAAAAAAATTGTTTAAAATATAAAAAAAATTCAGTGAAAACAAAAAAAATACGAAAAACGAAAAAGTAGAATTTTCTGAAAAGTGAATTTTAAAAACTGAAACCAAATAGAGTTAATTTCTCACTTACGTGGAAAAAAAAATGATTGTGATTTTTCATATTTTGGTGTAGATGAACAATAGTTAAAAGAAGATACATCTGTCTTTTTATTTTATTTGTTTTATATTTAGAATAGATTAGATATTATAAATTTGTTGTAAAGAGTAATTTTCATTTCTCACCAAATCTCACCACTTTTGGTGAGAAGCAAAACTCAAATTTTGAAAAAAGAAAAAAAAAAAAATTTGTTTCTCACCAAATCTCACAACTTTTGGTGATAAATAAAACTTAAATTTTGAAAAAAATTAATTTTATCTCAACACTTTTGGTAAGAAACAAAACTTAAGTTTAGAGGGATTTGTCTTTCTCACTTCATTAATCGTCTAAATAAGTAATAAGAAATTTCATTCTAACCATTTTTTTTCCCCCTTTCTTACCAAATCCCTCAATCCAAACAAAATGTAATAGATTTGGCTATTTTTCTTATGAAAACTGTGTACCAAGTCTTTTTCATTAAAAAGTCACAATTTTTTTTAATTTTTTTTTTTATTTTAAGAATTTAAAATGAAAAACTCTTTCTTCCATTTTGGCTCTGGTTAAGTATCAGCTTCTAATTCGTTTTGTTTATTTGTTTGTTCGTTTATTTTAATTTTGAGCTCTGCTTTGTTCCTTCTTTCCTTCTACCACAGCATTGTGGCTTTGTGTGTGGTGTTTGAATGGATGTTTGCTTTTGTCCTAAATTTATATATTGCATTTTTTAAAAATAAAAATGAATTTGTTTTCAATAAAACACAAAAATAAATCATAATAAGAAAATTAATTGAAGTTATATGTACCAAACAATAAAATCTATTATATTACAATATCACTTAATCTTAACCTGTAATTTATAATATTTCATATTTTTTACATATAACCTCTATATATTCATTATAGAATTTGGATTATTAAGGTTGATTGGGTTTTGAAAACTCCCATTCAAGTTTGGTCTGAATTTAATTTGAACTGGCAAATTTTAACCTAAGTCCTAACCAAATTTTAAAACGAAGAGAAAAGAGGGATGAGAATCCCGAGTCCTGATGAGAATCCTAGGAAAGAGAGATGAGAATCGAGGAATTGTCAGAATTTTTTAACATTATACCTTGATTAATAATTTATTTTTATTATTTATATAATTCAGGTTGTATAGAATGTCATTGCCAAGCCTGGCTCAAATGTGTCTGAGATTGATTTTTATAGTGACTTTTTTGTTGGCTTCTTTTTATGGTAAAAAATTTACAGTTTGAGATTTTACTCAACTAGACAGATAAAAAAAAAAGTAAAAGTAATTAAAAGTTTCTAAAAACTGTCCAATAAAAAAAATTTCAAAACAAAAAAAGAATTTTGTTGTCTTTAATGAATTTTTTGTAATTTTTTGATTAAATCCTTCTACACTGAACATATGGGAATAGTAAAAAAAATTTAACACAAATTTGGAAGAAAATACTGAAGACAAAAGTTTAGCAAAATGTGATTTTGTTAGCTAATTTGCTTCCTAAATATTTACCTAACCCCTTATTGAGATAAAAAAATGAATTTTCTAAATAAAAATAATTTGGCATTCATGTATAAAATAAATTTAAATCATTGATTGATAATTCTGAATAAAATTCTAGACAAAAAATATAAATTTGTAATTTTATATAATATTTGCTTGGGAGAAAGACTCAGAAAAAACAGCCACCCTCCCAATAAATAAAAAGACGGTGTTCATCTCAAACAAAAAATGAAGAAATATATATATATATATATTTTTGATGACCTGATGTCTAATTTATCTTACTGTCACGACCTTGGTTATTTCTAAGTTATTCATGTGGCACTTTTACAATCACAAGTCTTATTTGGTGATACTAAGTCAACCTAACTCACAAGTTTGCAAAAAAGACAAGTAAGAATGCAAAGAGAGTTTGAGAGAATGCCTTTGTATTCACTTTAGAACAACTTGTACAACTCTTGATTAGTGTCGGGAGGAAATGAGCTTATTTCCTATTTATAGGCTCCTTTGGAGCATTCTAGAACACACAAAAAAAAACTATGGAGAAGCTTTTCATGGAAGCTTTCCTTATTCTACAAAAGGGTTCTAGAATCCTCTCTAAAAATATCTATACAAACGTCCACCTCATTCTAGAAGTAAGTACAAGGGTCTTTTACCACCTCCGTTTCTCTAGGAGGTTCTAGAAGCTTCTATTGCTTCCATTCCTCTAATATTCACTTAAATGCTATAAAACCTATTATAAATCCTTCCAGGTACATTATAGAATTATGTACCATATTCTCTCATTTTCTTAAGTTTTTCAGGAGCTTCTAGAATATTCTATTAGCCTTTCTCCTTCGGGATTTCCTCTTGGTAGGCAATTTTGTCTAGGTAATTTGGCGCGACGTGACATTCTCTCCCACCTATTATCGCGACGCCCTTGTCGCGCCTTTTTTCTTGAAGTCGCAGGTTTTCTCCTTGACTTGTGCCTTCTTAGATTTGCCTTGTCCATTTGCCCTATTGTTGACTTAATAACATGTCGATGGACTATCCTCTATAGAGCTAGTCATTTCTTAGCAATGCCTACTACCTCTTTCTTGTCCGTCCCCAACTTGATATACGTAGGTGACAAAAGTTGGAGTTAGTGCTTAGCTTACTCATCATTGGTACCATGCAAGGCCCACTGTCCATAATGCACATAGTGTTGTTATAAGGTAACAATGCTACGTTGAACTCCAGCAAGAATTCCATCCCTAGCACCACGTTATAGTCATCGAGTGATGGTATTGAAAAATTGATTTTTCCACGCCATCCACCAAGGTGCAGCTCAACCCCTTGAGCCATGCCATCTATGGGCTTTGCCTTGGTGTTCACTGTCTTGATCAATCCTTGACCCTTATCAAGTTTAAGACCAAGCCTCTTGGCCTCCTCTGCCTTAATGAAGTTATGCGACACGCCTGTGTCTACCATGACTTGGGTTGCCTTCCTGTTGACCTTGACATCTACGTACATTAAACCCTTATCCCATTGGGTCAATGCAGTAGGTTTCGATTCGATGGCACCAAGCAGCTGTAGAGATCCTATCTGTGGAGTCTTCACCTTTTCCCGTTCTTCAATCATGGCATTGAGGGCTTGCCTCTTGGGACAATCTCTTGGCCAATGTGGTCTGTCACATAGGAAACACTTGGTCTTGGGTTTGAATATCTCATTGTTCTCTCTAACCTTCCCTTTATCCTCTTTGCCAGTGGGAGACTTGTCATGCTTTTCCTTGTGTCAGATGCCTTTATCCTCATCCTCCTTACTTTCACCAGAACTTCTTCTAGGATCACGATTAGATGTCTTGGCCTTACCATCTCTATGTTTATACTCAATAAGCAATTTTTCCACTGCCATGGCCGAGGCAAGATTTTGCACTCCACGTCAGCGCAATTCTTGCTCCATCCATGGTTGTAGGTTGTCCAAGAAATTGAAGAGTAATTCTTCAATAGTCATACTCAGGACTTCAGCCATGAAAGTAGAGAATTCTTTTAGATAGTCCTAAATAGACTTTATGTGTTTAAAATTTTTCATACTCTTCTTTGCTTGGTAGGCCATATCCTCGGGATAAAATTGCTTCTTAAGTTCTTTTTGAAATCATCCCAAGTTGCTATGGTGCACGTTGTTAGAACAATCTTCTGTGTAAATAAAATAAATAGAAACAAAACCTAACAAATATATAAAAAAGAGTAAATTGTATCTATACAAATTTAGAAATTTTCATAAACATTTATTACTGCTACTTATGTAAATTTTTAGACCTTATTGGAAACTTTTGTTTTATAAAATTGAGTTATTTAACAATACTTAATAATTTTTAGTTCATAGTAACATTAGTTTTTTAATTCTTTTACGTGAATGACTATATGAATCTCAATTTGTTTAATTAATCAATTATTAGGCTTTTATACATTTAGATATATTTCAATTTATATTTTCAAGCATTTCTATTTTATCTTTATTTCATAAAATATTTCCGAGATGTTTTTGTTTCTGTACTATTTGAAGCAACACACTGAAACGAAATTTTGATCTTTGTATATATATATATTATTATTTGAAATCCCAAGACCAGGAATCATCAATTTGCTGATTCTTTGAGCACGGATGGGAGAAAAAAAAAAAAGGGCAGGCTTCCACACACAAATGCAGTAGACATAATATCACACAAATTCAATTACAATATTTTTACGGTGTGTTAAACATCCACTGGTTCTAAATTGCTTAGGGAGATTAAGCATATGAAATACAAAACACACTAACAATATACAAAAAATTAACAAATTGTATGTAATGTCCCCATTAAAAACTTTGATGTGTAAGAATACACTTAATATTAAAATATCAACTAAAGCTAACAAGGCAGCAAAGATTAATCAAATAATGTCGATTCACCCTCTGAGCAAAATGGGTAGCATTTTCCTACTAATTTTCAAGGGGTAAAACAACATGAAGATACTTGACTTGTACAATTTAATAAATGACTTCATTCAACTTTTTACAACATACTAGTTATCCAGTAACCAAAATTCAAATTATAATATAGTCAAGGATACATCATATAAATGCATGTACATTTAAGCTGATGAATAATCAGTATTGATGATCTGCGAGAGAGAGTTAGTTATCAAAAGAAAAATAGCAAATTGGGGAATCACTATAACAACCTATATATATGAATTGCCACCTCATACAACATACTACCCAAAAATTTTACAAACAAAAATAGTGGGGGAAGCCAAGCTCACTACATTTTCACTATATGCAACTATAGATAAATAAAAAATCACTCAACATACCTCCATGAAATTGTGAAACTATGAATGTTTTAAACATAAGCTTTCCCAAAGCTATATTGCCCCTAAACAAAATGAAAGGCCATATGATGCAAGTTAGGTAAAGATATTACAAAAGAAAACACCAAAACGGTTTCAACTCAAGAAAATTCTTACCAGAATTGGTCAAAGTGTACATGGGGATAGCGAACAATCACTGGATGGACAGGATATCCAGGGACAAATGCACCAAGTTGGAAAGAAATGAGAACTCTTCCATTTGTTGTGGTTGCCTCGGAAATAAAAGCAGACGAGGAAATCTATCGGAAGAAGCCTTTCTTTGTATTCAAATCCTTGAAAGCACATTTCTGTATCAAATAATCTCTCAGAGATTGATAAAACTTAATACTCTAAATTTTTTTCATACAAAAAATGTAACAACTCCAGGTATACAATTAAAATTGCTTTTAGTCTCCATATTTAGTAAACAACTCACAAAAATGAAATTTGGACACCTGATTTGTGTATATTTGTTTGTAGCTTTTTAAGTTAGCTCTTACAACAGCAAAAAATTTGTTTAATTTTTCTAAGCATTTGCAAACTACTTACATCATAGCATTTCATTCTCTTTCTTCTTCTTTTTTTTTTAACATCACCCTCATTTGCCTGGCCAAAAAATTCTCCCTTCAACAAGAATTTGTACCAGCTTAATCACTTTCAATCTGACTTTCCCCGTTCACTATATAGGCAACAACTTAACAAATGCAAAAACATTTTATTAATGACTAGCCCAGAAAACCCAAAAACTAAGGTTTGGTTTTCATAATCAATTTTGAAAGATAATTTTTTTAAAATTTGTTTGGCTGTATATTCTAAAAATAGATTTCAGAAATTTAAAAATCCAAAACTCATTTAGTTTTCAGAATCTAAAATAATTTTTACAAATCTGTTTGGTTTTGGAGTTTTCAAAAATAATTTTTAAGTTTCAATCCGTATTTTATTATTTTTAGTGAACTTTTTAAGTATTTAATCAAGGTTTTTCAAGTTTTTAGATCCACTCAATCTAAATACACCTAAAACGTATAAAATTTATGAAAAAAAGCGTTTAAAAAATCACTAAATATTAATAAATATACAAATTTAATACATTTTTGTATGTATTTTGTATTTATTATATTTTTTTAAAGATTTTTTAATTTTTTTAAGTATATGTAGATTAGATGCATCTAAAAAATAAAAAAATAAAACAAATTAGCCAATATATTAAAAACATACGAATTAAAAATTTTAAAACTATTTTTGAAAACTCCAAAACCAAACAAAATTTTAAAAATTATTCACTCATTCCATAATGGTCATTCAAATTTAAATTTAACATATTTTTTCATTATTTTCAAAAATATTTTTTATTAATTGAAAATACAAATTCATTTTATTTTAAATTTTTATATGAATTTGCAAATAACTTGCTCATCCAAAAAAATTCAATTAACTTGAAAATATGATGTACTGCATACTTTAGATATTCCTCATTCAAAAAAAATTTGAAAATCAATAAGCAAAAAGACATTAAAAATTAGCAATGTTAGAAATCTTTACTATCAATTAGATTGTTTGATTAAGTTTTTAAAATCTGTAAAAGTAAAAAAAAAAAAATGAAAAACACACTGTTTTTCATATGATTTTTTGTTTTTAAAATCTGAAAATATTTTTTTAATGTTGATATTTATAAAATTAGTTTAAGTTTTGATACCTGGCAATTTGAGTGCTTGTAAAACTGCGGTGGGAATCTCATCAACAAACATCGACATCAGGTATGTGAGCTAAGTGGGGCCAATACTTGCCTTTCCCCTTTTCACACTTCCTTGTTAGTTTCCGACTTCCACCGATCCCCAATCTCTTAAGTGAGGGAGGCAGCCTTTGCACTGGTAAAGATTTGAGCCTAGGGCAACCCCAGATTTCAAGATATTCAAGAGAGGCGAGGTTTTGAAACAACTTAGAAGATAGCTTCTCTAGATTTCGGAAACCCCCGATATGAAAATCGATCAGAGAGGTGGGCAGCAACTTCCCATCTATCGGAAAGCTGGACCCCGCTACACCTTCTTCTTCTTCATCCTCTGCCACGCTAATTGCGCCTGAAATCGACAGTATTCTAAGAGAGGATAAACTGCGCAAACCAATCTTCTTGAAGTTGTTGTTCCATTGTGAAATATTCATATACAGCGATTGAAGAGAAGTGAGGTATTTGATGCTCTGCAATCCGTGTGGTAGGGCCTTGAGTTTTTTGCATTCCCTGATATCCAAATGTGCCAGATTTGTTGCGGAGTGGAACCATCCTTCCGGAATGTACTCCAAATTCTTACACCCTTTCAAGTACAATCCACTGAGATTCCTGAGATTATTATTATTATTAGGAAGGGCATCTGGCAAGTATTTGAGCCTATCACAATCCATGATCAAAACAATCTCAAGAGATGGACAGGTAATTTCCATCCCCTCATCTACTACTAGCAGTGCCTCCAACTTTTTACACCTCGTAATCTGAAGCTGTTTGAGTGTGGGTGGTAGCCCCCCACCTCTGCACGATATCAAGCATGTGAGGGATGGACAATCACGAACAGCTAACACTTGAAGATTACTGTCATTAATCTGTGTTAAACACCCGAATAAGGATTGCAGAGCCTCACAATCATCTATCCTGAGTGTTTTCAGCGTGCACAGAAAACCTGTCTCCGGAAAAGAGCTGAGACTCGGACACTTATAGACATACAACTCTCCAAGAAAAGTGAAGCTATGTAGCAGCCGTGGCAGTTTCTCCAGCTTTTCACAATTATCTATTGTTAGATGCTCAAGCCTCCTCACTATGCAGGGGAGTCCCTCTTGTTGCTGCTGCTGCTGCTGCTGCTCATGTTGCCCTTTGTTGTCTTCATCCTCATCTTCTTCAAACAAAGAAACAAGCTGGGGGCAGCCTTTAATTTTCAAATGCCGGAATGCAGGGAGACTCAGACTGTGTTGCACTCTCTCCTCTTTCTTCCACAATGTCTTGAGTTCTTCACAGCTTGTGATCTCCAATGCTTCGAGTTCCATCAGCCGATGAGTAACCCATTTCGGCAAGAGCTCGAGTTTCTTAATCATCCCAATGCTCAAGGAAGTTATTGAACTCGGATGCTTAGACTTTGCATTTGCTGATATCAGTTCGTCATCAACCATGCTCCTCATCTCAAGGACTGCTTGAAGGCTTGTTAGAGGAACGTCATTCATAGCTATAGAGGTGAGTGACGGGTGGACAACCTTGGAAACTTCAACTAGCAATTGCGAGCACTTCTTAATCTTTAGATTATTCAAACAAGGTAGATAACTTGGTAACATTCCAACAAGTTTAGGACAATTTTCGATGGAGAGCTCACGAACATGAGTAAATGGTTCAACTTCCTTATCATCTTCAAAAGTATACCAATACTCCCATTCCAGCATATCCTTAAAGCTTAGAGTCTCTAGTAATTGAAAGGGTTTTGCACCACCCTGCCCATAAAACTCACGACCGACATGCTTTAGTACACTCATTCCTTTAATGTAAAGCTTTTTGAGGGAGGGTAGTTGTCCTAGTGGTGGCAAGGATGCACAGTTTCCACAATTATCTAAACTTAGGTCAGTCATATTGGAGAACAGAGGATCTCCTATCCAAGTCGGAAATCCTGCACCAAGGTAGCCTTTGATATGGAGCTCTTTTAAATCTTTGTGAGGTTGTAGCATGTCAAGCACTTCTGTTTCAACTCTTCCATCTCGTGAATCATCTGAGTTAACACTCCATTCCATTGATAACACATCTAACCCCTCCTTATCAATTAAATTCGCCTCCCTTGCATCTAATGGAACCACCACGTTCTGTAACCCAGATAGGCAAAGCCTCCCCCGAAGATAAATTAAGTTTCCCAACTCTTTTAACCGATGCCCACTGTTTTTAGTAAGAATAAAATTGGATAGTGTTTGAAGACTAGCCAACTTACCTATTCCCAGTGGCATTTCTTCTAAGTGATGTGCATTTGTAATATCGAGATGACGTAGGTCAATTAGGTTTCCCAAGTCTGTTGGCAACTTTTTCAATTTTTCACATCCTCTTAACATCAATGTTTGTAGATTGTAAAGAGAGCCTAATGATTTAGGTAATTCTTCAACGTTGGTGTGGGATAGGTTAAGATACCGCAGATGTTTCAAATCTCCAACTGAATTTGGAACTTCTGTGATGTAATATCTACTCATATTGAGCACCCTCAAGCGTCTTAGCTTTGGCAATAGATTAAGGGAAACATTGCTTGCCAAATGACATTTCCAAATATATAGTGCATTAAATGGTAAGAAGGTCCGTAAATGTATGGCTTTGTCAAAGATCTCAAATTTTTTCGTACCCTCATATTGCTCCCGCATATAAGATGAATGTCGAGCTTTCTTTATATTCTTGCACTGCTTCGGATATTTCAATATATCCTCCAATCTAAAACAAGTTTCTCTTGCAACTACTTGAGCCAAATCATTGATGAGGTCATGCATCACAAATTTAGAGCTTTTACCGGTACTTGATGGTTGGAAAAAAGACCTTGACAACAATTCCCGAAAGTACTCACCTCCTACATCTTCCATTTGTTTCTCTCTTTTTTGCAGAATGAAACCCTCTGCCATCCACAACAAGACTATCTCCTCTTCCTCGAATTCATAGTCGTTGGGTATTATTGAGCAGTATGCAAAACACTGCTTCAAATGCGAAGGGAGATGATGGTAACTTAATCTCAAAGCTGGAAGGATGTCACTTTCTTCGTGTGATAGTTCCCATATTTTACTACACAATACATCTACCCATTCCTCATCTCGTTCTTTGCAACGTAAAAGGCCACTGAGTGTCTTAGCAGCCAGAGGCAAACCTTTGCATTTCTCCACAATTTCCTTACCTATTGATACCAAATTTGGATTTGCATCAATACTTCTATTCTCAAAGGCATGTTGTGCAAACAATGACCAACAATCTTCATCTGATAGGATCTCAACGTCATGAAGTTCAACAGTTGCCATCATTCTTGCAACGTCTCTGCTACGTGTAGTCACCACGACTTTACTTCCTTGAGCTCCATCCTTGAAAGGGCTGTTCAAATCATTCCAGTCATTGTATTTTTTGTTCCAGACATCATCTAAAACAATAAAGAACTTCTTTCCGGCCAAAGCCTGCTTTAGTTGAACTTGAGCTTGATCCAAGTTATCAGAACTACATGTCTGGGAAGTGACTGAATCATAAATTGCTTTTGTTATTTTCATAATGTCAAACTCATCTGACACACAAACCCAGGCTTTCAGATCGAAATGCTTCTTCACGGTTTCATCATTGTATACCATCTGAGCCAGGGTGGTCTTGCCAATCCCACCCATACCCACAATGGGAATTACGTCAACTTTGTTACGACTTGATTCACCCCCACCTACGAGCAACTCAATTATCTTTCTTTGATCCTTTTCTCTTCCATAAACGCGAGGTTCTTTTAATAACGACGTAGACTCTGGTCTTTGCCAAGTCTTAGTAGGTGTGGTGGTTCCAACAATCTTAACCAAATTAAGTTTCGAACATTGTTCAAAACTAGTGCGTAATCTGGTAGTGATCTCCTCAATCTTGGACCTCATTTTGAAATTAAACACAACATCTCTTGGCTTGAAATTAGGAATGGGATTCCATACCTTGCTGGAACTAGCTTGGGGCGGCTTTGCCTTGAGACTCTGTCGCAAAGCTTCGGTGGCGAACTCATCCACTAAATCATCCAAATCATATGCCAGATCCTGGAGATCGTCGAGCCACAGGTTCACGGCTCGATCGGTCAGTTGCTTCTCCTCCGCGTCAACTAGAAGAGCTTCAATTTGGCGCAGCATATTGGTCCAATTGCTCAGCTGGGTACCAATACCTTCAAAGGTGGGTAATTTGGAGGACACAAAAGAGGACATCTTCTCAAACAGCAATTTGACTGAGGCAGAGAGAAAGATCCCTTCTATAGGCATTGTTTCCGATTACAGGAGGAAAAGAAAAAAATCAACAGATCAGAAGCAAAGCAAGCAAAGCAAAGCAAAGCAAAGCAAAGAGGTTGTTCACTTTTTTTCCAGTTAAAAAAGCTTCAGCAGTCACAAAAAATGGCTATATTTTTGTGAGAAGAAGAAGAAATTATTGAGTGCTGAGAAGTCAAAAATGGATCTCCGTTGATTGGCCCGTCCCTATGCGAAAACAGCATATAAATTAAAAATAAAGTAAAATAAAAGAACCCAAATATAATAATATTTGTTAGTGGAAAGAACCCAATTACATTTGTTAATATGTTTTTAAATGAATTCATTTCTTCTATCAAGGTAGGGGTGACTTAGAAATTTTCCCATCTTTACCCAATAATATAGTTTTGAATTTTGGTACATACATTTTTAATTTTTTTAAAATATATATATATATATATATATATTTTT